GAAGCTTCTCACACAGCTGTGCGTTACTGGTGCTAAATATTTTGAAACAATTTCTTTTAAATAAAATCCATGATGATCGTGTGGCTCATCCATCATTCATCCATTGTGTGTCATGTCCAATCTTACTTTGAAAAACGGCGATAGACCGAGTCCACAAAAAAACATCTGTGAAGTAGCGAGGGACTACTGTATATATAAAGCATTCAGATCCAAAGTTAGAATCTTTTTTCCATTGTTACTAATTTTATGTTTATCATAAAAATGAGACTATCTGGTTATCCAGCTGAATGTGTTTTGCAGAAATATCTGTACATTTTCCAAGATATGTTCGTGCTGCTGTTCGGTGTATTGTTTATGATGCTCGTTTATGCTACTAGTGTTTAGTGTATTTTTATTTACACTTTTCTTATTTCATATCTTAGATCGTAATGTTTTTTTTTTTACATTTTAATACTTTTGTTGGATGTAACTGGGATCCGGTGTACACAATTTCGTTCCACCACATGGGGTGTGTATGACAAAGAACCTTGAATCCTTGAAGATGCAGACCTATTTTTGTGTTTTTGGACAGAGTGGATTAGTTTGCAACAAATTTATCTAACCTCATTTTACAAACCAGATTCCAAAAAAGTTGGGACACTAAGCAAATTGTGAATAAAAACTGAATGTTATGATGTGGAGATGGCAAATGTCAATATTTTATTCGTAATATAACATAGATGACAGATCAAAAGTTTAATCTGAGTAAATGTAACATTTTAAAGGAAAAATATGTTGATTCAAAATTTCACAGTGTCAACAAATCCCAAAAAAGTTGGGACAAGCAGCAATAAGTGGCTTGAAAAAGGAAATTGAGCATATAACGAACAGCTGGAAGACCAATTAACACTAATTAGGTCAATTGACAACATGACTGGGTATAAAAAGAGCTTCTCAGAGTGTCAGTGTTTCTCAGAAGACAAGATGGTAAGAGGATCGCCAATTCCACCATTGTTGCGCAGAAAGATAGTGCAGCAATACCAGAATGGTGTTACCCAGCGTAAAATAGCAAAGACTTTTAAGTTATCATCATCAACCGTGCATAACATCATCAAAAGATTCAGAGAATCTGGAACAATCGCTGTGCGTAAGGGTCAAGGCTGTAAAACTCTACTGGATGCTCGTGATCTCCGGGCCCTTAAACGTCAC